TCACAAGCAACCGAAGCCTAACATCATAAACCTTAACCGTAAACCCGAGCTGAGCGTCCCGTCCTTGGCCAGGGTCATGCTGTGGTCGAGCGATAGCCGAGAGAGAGAGAAAGAGAGTGAAGGAGAGGGGGCCAAAGCGTTGAACTTCCGAGCTTTCAAGGAGCTTGAGCCGAAAGTTTAGGGTTTGCAACTTTCGGGCTCTACAAGGGGCTCCAGCCTCTTACAGTTTTGTTGATTCAGGAGTGTTCTTCAGTAGCAGTCTATGCATGGCAGTTGGGCTGTGAGTATATAGAGTTTAAGCATACTGTTCAGGATTTAGGCTGCAGCATCTACCCATCGGCCCCATAGTAGTTCCTTTTTGGGGATTACCTAATTTTGAATAGGATCCTAAATATAAGCCACAAAAGGAACTACTATGGGGTCTATGGGTATAGACTTTGGGCTTACCGGCTGCGTGATTCGAAGTTGGGGGCCTCAGGGTGCTAGGCCTTTCTGCAGGTCGACGGCTCCTAACCGTAAAGGTGAGTACACGGTTTAGGCTTTCGGGTTTGGGAGTGAGGGCTTACAATTTACACTTCGAGGGTCGGGGGACTGAGTACATATAGGTAACAAGCAGGCTTTATAAAGCGACCTAGAGGCCCTATGATGCTTTTGTGCATCCTTGTTTTATAGCACTGTGGTGCGTAGTGCTCCTTCTGAAGGCTACGCCCTAAACCCTCATCAAGGCCTAAACTTCCTAAACCCCAAACCCCAACTCAAACCCTCAAGCCCTAAACCTCAAAACCCTGAACCCCAGAACAGAGGGCGGTACGCTGGCGGCGCGGCTGCTCTGCGCCGATTCTGGCCTCGAGGTTGAACCGCGGGAGGAAGGCTTTTCGGCTTCGTGTTTATAGGCCCGAAAACCACGCCAGGATTGGAGCTTTAGATGGTTTCGTCGGGTTTCACAAGGATTCTATAGAATTTTTAGAAGGCTTGTCAGGCTCGTGGGTAGCTATAGATATAATACAGGCTCTTTGTATTCTATGTCTAAGTACTCACGACCCAGACCCCCAAAGGATCTAAAAAATAATCCCCTAATTAGGGACCCTAACTACTAAAGGGTACTTTATAGGAACCCCCTTAGGGGATCTATTTTTTAGATGCTTTTGGGGGTCTGGGGAAGCTTTATATATAATCTTTATATGGGGGTTTCCGAAAATAGGGGACCCTAATATAGTACCCTAAATAATAGCATCCTTATTAAAAGGACCCTAAAATAAGGTACCCCTAATTTTCGGACACCCCCCTATATAACCTGGTATTGCTTTTTTGGCATCATTTGGCTGTGGGTTTGGGGGCTTTGAGTTCGAAGGGCTCACTGGTTCAACCTTTGTCTCCCAAAATCTGCTGTTTTAGGGGTTAGGCCCCATAATTAAGGGGTCATAACCTACTATTTTGTAGGGTTTAGGGGCTACAGGAATACCGGGCCCGAGCAATTCCTTCACGAAAGTCCACGCTTTTGCGTGACTACGATCCCCCTGCGACCCTAAACAGACGCCTGGGTGCTTCCGAAAATAGGGGACCCTAATATAGTACCCCAAAAAGTAGGATCCTTATTCTAAGGACCCCCAAACAAGGTACCCTTAGTTTTCGGAAACTCTCATCTAGTTACCAATAATCTTAATGCAGGAATGCTACATGCACCAAAACCCTAGTCTACACCCCAAACACTGAAACCCCACACCCGAAAAGCAGCAAGGCCTCAATCCTGAAACTTGCTATATACGCCGTCGTTCACCGGAAAAACTTCGGCCCGCCTCCGCTTAAGGGCTCAGAACTCTACGGTTTAGGGTTTTAGGGTTTAGGGTTTCGGGTTTAGGGTTTAGGGTTGAAGATCAGGAAAGCAACCCCTCGTTAGCTACGTTTATCTCAGCTACGTCCCCTGATCCTTCGTAGATTCCTTAGACCGCCATAATTGGGTTTAGGGTTTGTGGGTTTAGGGTTAGGCCAGCTACCTTGTCGATGACCGACGGCTAAGGAAGTATGGCCGCATGAAGCCATGGTGGCCGGCTACGCTTCGTGGCAACGCTCACTGTAATACAGCATGGCATACTATGATGTGCTATCGGTACATAATAATATGGGTTACAGAATGTTTGTAATAAAACATCTAACAACTTCGAGGTTTAGGACTCACACCACCAGACGTGAGCTTAACCTTCCAATGAACTCGGCTGCTGTTTGTGGGCCTTCCGACGATCTCTAGGTATGCAGTTGCCTGCCACCTCTGTCTCTGCACCGGACCTTCGGGTGCTGGGGTATCTTGTTCTGTAACATCCCTAAACCCTAAACCCTAAACCCTAAACCCTAAACCCTAAACCCTAAACCCTAAACCCGTGATATGAGGACCATACACCAGGAGATGCTATTAAACATGATTCCAAACCCTATACTACACCCTGAGGACCATGACCCATCTCTTGTCAGCTGCCATGGATGCATAGAGCTGCGGCCTGCGCCTACATGTAATCGTGCCAAACCTCCAAAACGCTGCCAGAAGATCTACAAACAAAAATAATGCACAACAGCACTACTCTACAGCCTGATCTGAACACTGAACCTCTCAACCCTGACACCTGGAAAGTCCTGGTCCGCAAGGCCTTTGCCTAAACCCTAAACCCTAAACCCTAAAACCTTAACGCCCCCCAACAAAGCCTCTGGGCCCAAGCCCCACAAGTTCTCTCTTCTCTTGGACCGTACGCCCTTGTACCTAAAAACCTTTTAATCATCGTCCGAAGTTCTGGACCCTGGATCCGGATGAAGTGACCCCAAATTTCAGGGATGTTGGCAGCCGGTACTTATAAAGGTTCATGGGACTTAGTAACTATAGGGTTATAATTAAGGTAACTATACTTATAAATACTTATTCCCCAATTAAGGTACTTATAATTGTACTTATTATGTCCCAGGAGCCTCCAAGTAGGTGGTATGGCAGTGCAGGATGTTATAAAGTGGGTGACATATGAAGTAGAAAGTCTTTCAAGTAAGATTTTGGGATGCAGGAAATAGGGTTCAAGGATCTAGCAACTTGAAGCTTGGTGATTCGGGTCCTAGAACTTCAGTGTTTGCCTTTAAGCCCTAACCCGCTTTTCCGACGCGCTGGTGCGCACACTGGAGCAGAACTCGCGCACCTCGTCGGGTCGTTAGCCAGTGGCACACCCTACGGTCTAGGGTTTACGACTCTACACACCTCAACCCTAAACCCCTAAACCCGCAAACCCTAAACCTGAAAAACCTTAAAACCCTAAAGCCCTAAACCCTAAGCCTATACCCTAAACCCTAAACCCTAAATTCTCAACCCTGTCAACACCGGAAAACCTGAGTAATGGAAGAGGGTTCCGGTAATGTCAGGGCCTTAAATATTAGAATAGGGTTTTGGGCTCCTTTAAATTATAAGTATAATCAGGTAGTTACCAGGGGCTTCTATAGTAACATATGTATACTGCAACCATTATATATGTTATAGGAACATCAAACCCAAAACCCAGCGCAGAAGGCTTCTGGGGGTCGTTGATTTTCCAGGGCTGAGGGGGGCTTTTAAGGGCATGAACCGAAACACGATCTAGAAAGGTCTTGGAAGAGTTGAAACAAAGCTTTTTTGGGGGCATCATAGAACGTTTAGCAGAGTTCTTCCCTAGGGCTCCAAGTATACAACTAGTACCTACTTTGGGGTCGAAAGTCTGTAAATAGTACCTGTACTTTGGGCTTTTTGGAGCCCCAGGGCTTGAACCTCTTGCGGCTTCGATCCTCCTCGGGGCTGCAATACCTGGTTATCCGAAGGGCGCGCGATGCAACAAATGTGTTTTGGAGCCACCAGCCTTAAGCCCAAGACCCAAACCGTCAACGCCTGAACCTTTCCTTGACCCTGTACCATATCTAACTCAGCCGAGAGCTGGTCTTAAGAGTGTGTATTCTTAGCGAGCTCCCTAAACCCTAGACCCTAAACCCCTAAACCCCAAACCCTACACCCTGAACCCCTAAGCCCAAAACCCTAAGCCCCTAAACCCTAAACCCTAAGCCTAAACCCCCAAGCCCTAAACCTTTAACCCCCAAGCCGATTGCAGCGATTGCGCAGTCAAAAGGCAGGCCTGAAGCGGCTCTCCTGGTGGTCTAGGGGCCTTGGAAACCTACCTAAAGGTTCATGGGACTTAGTAGCTAGCGTTCTAGGGTTTAGGGTTTCAGGGTTTTGGGTTTAGGGGTTTAGGGTTTAGGGTTCATGGGACTTAGTAACTAGGGTTATGATTAGGGTAACTATACTTATAATTACTTATGACCCTAATTAAGGTACTTATAACTGTAGTTATTAAGTCCCATGAGCCTCCAAGTAGGGCTGAAACACAATTATTGAAAGTTACTGTAAGGGTTCTATGATATAGCGGGCTTAGCAAGTAGAGCAGGGTGTTAGCACAATAGTATAATGCAGAGGCCTCAATCATTAGAATAGGGCTTTGGGGTCCTCTATAGTATATTTGAATAAGGAACCATAAGGAATAATACTGGTAGCTATTGAGGCTTCTATATATTACAAAAATTGTAAAATAAGGACCAAGTTCGTGCTGAGGCTTCAATAGTAGATCAGCGTGGCACAGCTTCCAAACGAGCTACTATTTGGTGCTTGGGATTGACAGTCTAAGGCCCTGCAAAATGCAGACATTGGTCTTTTACCGCCTATCCGGCAGAGAAAGGCTGAGGTGACTATGTGCTTCCAGCTGCACAGGCCGCAGGGGCGGAACGTAGCTCCGCATGACACCCCCGGCCAGGAAGACTCGGCTTTGCAACAGTCAGAGCCTGTACACAGAAAAGCATGGCAGAAGCCATTCACTCGGGACGTCTATACATGCGACTACAGAAAGCTCAAGAAGCAGTCATCGAGCCAACGCTGAACAGCGGCCATGATGCTCAAGTCATTCAATGTAGCCGGCCCGCATTAGAAAAAAGGACGCAGGTCCTCCTGGCTCGCTTTATTGAGCATAAACAACGTCTGTGCAACAGAAGCGGCTCACTGGTGAAGCCGTCCGACATCTTTTGCGAGGAAATTCAGGCTGTGCAGACTCGTCCACATCGATAAACGTCTTCCGTACCTTGCTCGTTGCACGGGGACCGGAACTCAGCCTGTTGGACTAGACACAACTAGTGTGTAAGAACTACCCAAATTAAAAGAACTCTATTATATGCGACTATCTGGTTAATGATCGTTCTTTCTCAGGAACCGGGCCAATACACGTTCAAACTTGTTAACCTCGACCAAACATACAAGGCCAAAACATCAAAGTTCTCCAACTGGCCGTCTAAGTAATCCTATGCGGCCGCGCAAGTTAAAAAGCTTGCAAAACAAGAGCTCAGGTGCCACAGTTTTAATGTCGATCGACTCGGTCAATCTCTGCTGCAAGGATTCGAAACTATGGTCATCCTGGAACTTCGGAGCGTGCGACTCACAAAGATTCGGGGCTGCTGGGCCGCCGCGGGAGCGACGGTACGCTGCCTTCTGCAAAGCATACGCTCGCTGAAAGTGCTCTCGCACTCGATTCCAATCGTCTCGTGGAATGGCGCACTGGTATGGCAGCAGATTTTGCCCGTCTATGGACTGATGCAAATTTGCCGGCTCACCGATCCTCTCCAGGAACAAGTTGAGATACTCTGAAAGGCAGAAGCTTCTGCTATCAGCCATTCGAGGATGATACCTGACCCAAACTGTGAGCCCATCTCGCTGACCTGCATCAATTGTCGTCAACTCCTCCGACGCCATCACATCCTCCACAACTGCCGGAATCAGAGGTCGGCCCCGCCGCCAGCTTTGGATGGTGAGGATGGCGTAGGCCTGCATATCTCTCCTGCGCATCTCTTCGATGCCAGGTCGATTCAGGAACCACTCGGTCATGTCCCGAGCTGACTCGAGCAAGGTCTCGAAGTAAACGGAGGCCCAGATTGGCAAAGAAGGAACCCTCAAGACAAGATCCAGGCTAAAGGTGCCCGAACCCGAGGGCCGGCCCAGGATGGCTGCCTCCATGTGTTCCGAGGGACATTGCACCAGAAGGGCGCTGTCGCCCTGTCGCGGGTAGTTCCTCCTGACGGTCTGGCGCATGCTGCCGGGCATCTCTGAGAGTGTCTGGAAGCAGAAGAGGTTGTTGGTGTTGGGAGTCTCCTTCTGGGCTTTGAAGTAACCAGGCAAACAGAAGTATAGACTTTCATTTCAGAATGGTTCCTTTAAGGAACAGGTCCCCAAAAAAGAATTAAAGTATGGTACTCCAAAGCCCAGCCTTGCTGAAGGAAAAGAAGAAGAGCCCCAAGAGTCGATTGCACCTCCATGCCCCACGCCGTCGCACCATGGCATCTCCAGGTGCCAGTTGCTGCACCACCTCATACATCTCCTGATTCAGAACTGATTCAGTAAGCCCTAAACCCTAAACCCTAAACCCTAGGCCCTAAGAGCACTAAACCCTAAACCCTAAACCCCGACTCCTGATTCAGTTCCGGTGACATGCGCATGGCCCAATCTCGGACCTCCGGCCGCACAAAGAGATGAGCGCCCGGAGCCGGGTCCTGGACTGCAATGTCCTTCAAGGAGAAACGAACGGTCTAGGGTTTGGGGTTTAGGGTTTAGGGTTTAGGGTTTGAGAGTTTAGGGTTTGGGGTTTAGGGTTTGGGGTTTAGGGTTTAGGGGTCCTTCAAGGAGAAACGAACGAGATGTCCCCCCCATGGGCATCTTCGGTGCAGCAGCCTGTCACTGCCTCTGGCACAGGCAACTTGCCAACCCTCAGAGTCGAGTAAAGTCGGGACGAAGTGGAACCAGTCCTCAAGGCTTTGTGGACGGATCGCCATGCCGCTTCCCTCTGCGTAATTAATTTCGATGCACTTGAGCTGCGCAGGCAGTAGAGTCCGGAACCCCAAACTCGTGTGCAACACGCAACTACAGGCTGATCGCATTGCACGAGACCCGGATATCTGTTCAAGACTTCCCCAGTTGGCAAACCTGCAGGCTCCATGTACCTATAGAGCAAGCATAGGCTTCAAGGGGTTCATATATAGGTACCCTTATTAAGGCCTACGTTTATATACTATATAAGTACGTGGGAATCTTGGAGGAAACGGTGCCCGCCTTCGTGGTGCATGGCACCGAGATTGGCAGCTTGGCTCTTTCTGCGAAGACCACGCCTGGTTGGAACGTGAAGGAACATGAAAACGGTTCAGCGCATGTTGTTGCAATGGCAGCTTGCAGAACATGACTGGCGGCGTCTTTCACATCCACCGCGATCCTGCGGCACGAAATGCAGTAAATGAGACACGCCAGCGAAATTTCTCGCGGGGGACGGGTTTGGAAGGGAGTTGGTAGGTCTGCAGCTCTCCTTTAATGTAGGGGCCTGATAATCAGAATAGGGTTTTGGGGACCATTGTACTATACTTATAATGAGGAACCCCGGTCTCAAGTGCTTGAGTGCACCCCAGCCCCAAACTCTTGCCAAACTCTCGTGCAGTCCTTCGGGTATAGGGGTCCGGGTTTAGGGGTTTAGGGTTTAGGGTTTAGGGTTCCATGCCACGTTCTTAATTAGTGTTTTTTTTGGCTTTGAGCTCATCTGTATCGTCTGGGAACGTTTTGCGGCCCCAAAAATCCACTGTAAAGGGATCTGACCGTGTTTGCGGCTCAGATCAGACCATGGATTTATTTCAGAGTCTTCCGCACCAATCACAAAACCCTGAACATCAAAACAAACTGCCCAAACCTTGAAACCCTGTTTTGGGCTTGAGGAGCTTCAGCAAAGCTGAGGCACAGGCTCTAAAGCATCATGCCGAAATGCAAGGAGAGTCATCATGGGCAGCAGGCGGAACTTTGCCAGGTCCTGGCAGAAGCTCGTAGGGTCAGGGTTTAGGGTTTAGGGTGAAGGGGCTCTAGGGCTGGGTTTAGGGTTTAGGGTTTAGGGTTTAGGGTTTAGGGTTTAGGGTTTAGGGTTTAGGGTTTAGGGTGGAGAAGCTTGCTGTATACCATCCTCAACGCTAACATGCTAAGATGCCACCTATGCGCAGTCCTTCTTGGCATCCCTCTTACTTTTCCCTGTTTCGGTAGGGCGGTATTGATTACAAGGGGCCCTGGGCCCTAAACCCTACACCCCAAAGGTCTACATTAGGCACTTGGAACCCTGGCGGTCTGGCAAAATAGGGGCCTTAATGGTTAGAATATGGTTTCGGTGTAGATCCATCTCGAAGGAACCGTAATGAATAGGTGTTGGGGTATGTTATTATGTTGTGGTTGTCATAAGGAGCTCTGAGGAATAGGTTTCACCACTTCGAACCCCAAACACTAAACGCTAAAACCCTAAAACCCTAAATCCAATCCCCTTAGCCCAAGAAAGCCTCCGCCAGCGCTAAGGCAGCAAACCAAGAAGCTGGATCCGCCGCAGCCGCCTGGAGGTCGTCGTTGGGGCTTGAGGGCTTATTGGGTTTAGGGCTTAGGGCTTTAGGGGCTTAGGGTGGAGGGCTTATTGGGTTTAGGGCTTTGGGGTTTAGGGTTTAGGGCTTTTGGACGTGTAAAAGGTTCAGGTGGTAAGTTCAGGGTTCATGGGACTTAACAAGTACAGGTATAAGTACCTTCAGTAGGGTTGTAAGTAATTAGGAGTAGAATTACCTTATTTATAACCCGGGTTACTACGTCCCATGAACCTTCAAGTAGGGCTTATTGGGTTTAGGGTTCTAGGGGTTTGGGGCGTAGGGTTCATACGGAGTTGGGGGTTTGGGGCTTGCTCCTCGGAGAATTTATATGGTGACGTCAAATAAGCTCGGATGGTTTCGCAAGGGCTTTGTTCTAAAGCCTTCGGGACCGTGGTCAGCTTGATCACAGTAACATGGATACAAAGTGCAGGTAGCAAGTATAGCATATCCCCGACTGAGGTTTCGGCTTCAATGCTAATGTAGGGGCCGCAATCATTAGAGTAAGGTGTGGGGGGGTACATTATACTACTGTATAAAGCCCCCGAAACCTAAATCCTAAACCCTAAACTTCCCTAAACCATAAACCCAGAACCCTAAACCCTAAACCCCTAAAACTACCGCACGTGTCGGAATCTGTCGCGCGTTTTTTGGGCAAATATGCGTTTCGCCACAGCGGGAGCGCGTTTTAAGACTTAAAACGAGGCCTGGAAAAA